ATTTGTTTAGCCAATTATGGACCATAGTTGTACATTAAGTAAGTTACATTAATAGAAACAACTGTGTGAATTTTGAGAAATTAGAAGCTGGCCCAAGCAGAAGTGGGACTTCTTTTGACTGGGCTAATCGCATGCATACAGTTCCATACCATCGCTACATAAAGCAAATATATTATTACAATTTTTATTAATAATATATATTACCCCGTGAGTGTACATTTTAATCAAATATCTCAAAAGTGATGATCATGTCTTTCTGTGAAACTTTTTAATAAACGATCAATGCCTTTATTTAATGGCAGTGACAACTGATGTCTCGTGACTAGTGCGCTTACTATGTAGACAAACACAATTACAATAAAACGTTTCAAAGGACAATTGGAGCACCGGGCAAAACACAGCATTTGCACATCTATAACTTGGGTGGTATTGTGAGCTGTCAAACGAGCAGACTCTCATCTTATTTACCTTCCATGACAATAGCAGGACATTCATAATAGCTAGCAGCGGACACGGCCCGTTCTCGTTCTGTGTGATGATAGGCGTGTTCTCCTCCTTCCACTTTATCCACTTGATGTGGTACACCGACTGACCGGTCACCCTGTCTTTAGGACAGGGGATTTTCGTTCCATCAGCCCCGTATTCACTCTGACTGGCCAAAGCCAGTCCCTTGTCCTCCAGCCCTTCGCTGTTGAGGTCTGAACTCGGGCAGGAGTTCAGATTGGAGAAGGACTCTAGTGAATCAAAGCTGCGGGACTCTCCTGCGATGCTGGGCTCACTACCACTCGGAGGACCCTCGGAAACGGTGTTATCGTTTGAATTCGAGTCAGCAGATTTTGCTTTGTCCGAACACAAATAAGCCGACTTGGCCAGCTTCGTCGCTTCTTGCGTACCTCCATCCAAACCGTCCGCCTGCACATTACTGGCGTCGGGTTGCTCTCCCGTGAGGTTGTTTACTAACTTTGAGGTGCCACCCTCCTTGTTCCCAGCAGCGGTCATCGACGGTTCGTATCCCAGCCCGTTGCTCAGCTGATCCGCTGCATCGGGCGACAGTGTCTCTGGTAAAGCGTTCGGTTGTCCGCTTTTGCTTACTGTCTCAGCAGCATCTGATGTCTGTGTACAGGGTGTAGCATTAGCACCGCTAGCACTTGCACTAGTACTCAGAGTATCTCTCCTCTCGCAGGCATCTTTCATTCCGCCCACTGTTTTGATATCCGCGGGTTCTGCGGGGATAGCGGTGCACAGGACACTTCCTCCTGCGTCTCGATGAGGGTTTGCATTCTTCTCCATTTCGCTGAACGCATCGACGACAAGCTTTGACTAGATGGCAAGCTCCAGTCTCAGCTCCGACGACGCCAT